CTGTGGCAGGAGGATTGGAACTGGATGATCTTTATGGTCCTTTGCAAACCAAACCAAATCAAATCATTCTATGACTCTGTGAGATACAGAAAGGTAGGATTTAAAGATCAGTCTAAGGAAAAAGGAAAGAAAGAATACCTAAAAAAATAGGATTCGATTCTCTGAGTAGGCTGTTGCAAAAAATAAATGTGTGCTTCGGAGGGTTTGTGCATGGAAAAAGTACAGCTTTGTTGGAGACTGGAATTTTACTGGCTTATTCACCTTACACCAAGGAATTTTTTAACTCACATTGCAGTTTCCACAGGAAACCTGATGCTCTGAAGTGCAGCTTTGAAATCTTCCATTTTTAACACCCAAGACATTTTGTGAATGTAGCCCCTGTTCTCTAGTTGAATTGCTTTGTGAAAATAGCATGTTCCTTCCCTAGCCAAGTAACTTGAAATTATTTTCAACTTTTAAGGCATACAGACTGAGCCTTAGAGAAATGATTGATGAACATTACCTCCCACTATTTTCTATAAATATTTTTTCCCATTTAACATAATTTTGATTGTCATATTTATTTTAATGTCGAGGCTCATATAATCACATATTCCTTATCTTACATTTGACTGAAAGTAGACAGAGAAAGAATTCAGACCAGACCAAATATAATTTCCTACGTATTTTTTCTTACAGGGTCCAGTTGTCATCAGCTTGTTTATATGGCATAGCCCCAGTGATTCAGTGGAACTGAGTATACTCAGCCAGAGTGATAATCTAGTCCATAAACTTTCCTCTTTCTCTTGTGGCTGTGCAAACTATTCATTTTATTACTGCATTTTTTCTTACGTGGAATTCAAAAGGCTTTATCATTTTCTTCTTAAGCATCTCAAGATTGTTAGACTCTTTAGAATGGTACTTGCAACACTAAAACCTTTCACCTTATTAGATTAAGATAAAGAATAAATTGTCCAACAGCCCTCTTTTTTCTACTTTTTTTTTTTTTTTCTACTCTATTTGAAACACCTGACAAAGTGCTTATAACCACTGCATATGTCCACCATAACTTTATGGACTATATTGTGTGAAAAATATGTTCTTATTAAGAGTTGATCTTGTCATGACAAACCTGACTGCTGTGGAATTTACCATGTGTCTCACAGCTATTTAAAATGGAAAACCAGAAATATTTTATTTCAGACAATATGGGATTTTGTAGAAAATTTGTCAAAAGAGAAGTAATTTAGAATTCAATGTAATACCAATTTGTTCACAGTACCCAGCATCCCAAAACCAAATACATTGCAGTTGTAGAAAATTACAATATATTTTATTTTGCTTCATAAATCATTAACAGAATTGCCTCTTTGTTTTTTCTACTAGACTCCACATTTTGGTGCTAACTTTACGAACAAGAAGAGGGGTACAGAGAGAGATTTAGCCATTATGTAGTGAGTGCAAGCCTAAAGATTAGAAAAACTATGTTTTGACTGTTATGCTGAGTATCGTTGATATATCCATTAAGAAAATAATTGAATCAAATTTTCTGCTGAGGTATTTTGTCAAGGGAGCAACAATGTAAAAAAACATTAATTTAGATAATTGTAGGACTCTGTTCACATCTCTCCCTCAGCAATCTTAAATTCTGACCCTGTGCATGATGAAAGTGAATTGGTACTGAAAAAGGTGATATAGGGTAGAGATTGTTAACTTTATTTATTTTTTAACTGTTGCAGCAGATGAAAGTAATCACTGTGCACTAGAGCAGATCCTCAGAACATCACAGTGCCTTGATGCTATGGTTTAGAATAATGCCCATAAAAGAAGACCAGTTACAAAGCAGAACATTTCACAAGACATAAAGAAGAGTTGAAGAGTATTTTTTCACTTAGTTATGAGTATGTCTGGCATTCCAAGTGACTTGAAAAATTGTCAGAATATAATTTGTTATCTCTACACTTACTTTAAGCCACAGTGACAGTGCTTTATTTTGGAAACTGGGAATAATACCAATGCTAAAAGCATGCTCTCACTTTGATTAAACTACATTTTTATTATGGCAAACTTTAGATGTATGATAGTTAAGGCTGATCTGATTTCAACTTACTTGTACTGTTTATGTTGCTATTCATTGTTGTATTAGTTTTGGACTGGGACTTTCAAGCAGACCTAAGGGAGTTAAGTGTCTAAATCTGACTGAAACTTAGTGGTAAATAGAGATTTAGATACCTAGGACCACTTAGAAATTCCTGGCTATGAACTTGCCAGATTCCTCAGTTTTTATTGCTTATAAATACAGGTGATATTTATTGATGTTTAGGGCAGAAGAGGATGGCTCACTGCTCTCCCTCCACACAGGAGTATAAACCAGCTGGATCAAATCAGGTGTGGAATGTCTGTAACCTGCTGCAGGGCACATGCTCATCTGTCTTCCCTGGTGTAAAAAAAAAGTCAGTGCATATTCTGAGACATTCAGATTGTACCTAACCATTCTTGCAAAGCTAAAACAAGCCCATTTGCTGTCAGTTCCCTGTGGTGAAGCCCTGGCACAGGAGAGCAGCTGAAGCAAAGCACCTGTACAATGTCGAATACACCCTCCCGCAGGGATATCTGCAAATCCAGTGGGCAGCAGCCCCTCCTGCCTCACCCTGAGCTGCTGTGGGAGCACAGAGTGGTGCTAATGGCTGTGGAAGAGAGGTAGTGCATCTCACAGAGGGCTGCAGTGGGTTCTGGTGTGGGTGTGAGCAGAGCAGATGCATGGGATGTGGGATTAAGTTGCTGCAGGGCATGCTGAAGTTGTCTCAAGTGTTTGGGCAATGCTGTCGCTCCCAGAGCATCACCAGCTGCCTGTGGTTCGAGCAGTGAAAGGGCACTTAAAAAGAGCAAAGCTGTGAATGGGTGTCATTGCTTAATCTACTAGGAAACTCCAAATACTATCTTGGTTTTGAATGATAACCTAGATGTTTGTGTGCTTTATTTTCTGGCTACATGAGACCATTTTCTTCCCTAACAATCCCACTGTCCTATTACCCAGTTCCCTGGCAGGTTTCCTACGTTGTTTTCTGAAAAAAAAATTAATTACGTGAAGATTTATTTTCTTGTTCATGGTCTGTGTTGGAGGTGTGGGGTGATTAGATGAAAAGATGGTGGCTTCCGTGCTGTTGCTCAACTTTGTAATTATCTGCTCAGAAGTTAAAAAGAAGTTCTGAATGTTACCATTCCTCCCCCTACGCCCATGCCCCCCCCAAAGAAAGATCATGACACTTCAAAATAACACGGTCTTGTCACATTTTCAGTGAGAAAAATAATACTATGTTTCAAATTTTTTTGGCATTTTGATATGTTGTGTCAGAGTGTATCAGTCATATCCTGGGCTCACACAGCAGTGTGACTGACAGGACAGGTGAACGCAGCAGTTCCAGCCATTGTCTTTCTGAGTAAGATATATTCAAAGAGATGGGATGCTCCTGCTTCTCGTGTTTTTAAATGAGGCTTACCCCTCCATGCATAACCTGCACATTTTTACATCTTGCTCAGCTCCTTGGCTGTCACTAAAGCCACTCAGCCACATCCATTCCCTAATCATACCATCTCCAGTGTTTCCAGTGATACACAGGACTTTTTTAACATATGAAACATCTCCTTTAACATACAGCATAACAACTTTAACATAGCATCTCCTTTAACATACAACAGCTCCTTTAACAGAAGTGCTTTAGTATATAGATTATTAAAGGTTGGATGTTGGCTGCTATACTTGACTCCAACTGCTTCTGCAAGACAAGAAGCCTAGCCCTGGAAGGGGTTATGATGGTAGGTGAATAGGAGATGCTATGCCTAAAGCTAACTGCTCTTGAAAAAACAAACCCCAGTGGATGAGGATGAGAAGGGAATGGATTGTGACCTAATGGGTCTGGATAACCACTTGTCTACAGAGCAAGGGCCTAGCCCCTGTGGGCTAAGCAATAAGGAGGAGGACACCTACCAAACTCTCGTTTTGATGACAAATAGAATTGTCACAAAAAGGTAGAAGAATATAATAGGAGAATAGAAACTGTTATAGATACATATTATATTGTTGGCTTTTCGAAAATATTAAAATGAATGTTATGGGTATAATAATGGAAATTTTTGTTGTATTAATATAAGTTTCTTTATTTCTGTTATTGATGAAACTTAGTAGTATAATACATGTATGTTAAGCTATGGCATAGTATTAAAATAAAAACTGATTTTGTTTGTATAACCCAAAGACTGAAAAAACCCCAAAAAAACAAGCTAGAGAACTCCTGCATTTGTAAACCCTCTTATCCAGATGAAGACAGCAGTGACCAGAGCTCTGGGGGGAGGAATTTATTGCATTTCTGGTATCAGAGAATGTAAATCTCGATGGTGCCAAGAAGATTGATCTATTGGGAAGGGGAAGAGAAAACTAAACAGAAGAACACCAAAGATCCTAAGAAGAATGTATGAATATGTATGAGAATTTATGGATATGTAGGAGGGTTCTGTTTTTAAGGGACAATCCTTTGTCAGTAAGGTGTGCTCTCTTGGCTGAATGCAGAGACACCCGGCCACATCTGTATACTTTATTTTTTTCTTCTAATTGTCTTCTCTTTATTAAAATTTTAAATTCTATAAAAATTACATGAACCTCGTTTTTCACAGAAACATAATCAATAAGCAATTATAAATTAAGCATAACTAATATAGTAACAAAGTGTGTAATAGTAGAATTGTGTATTAGTAAAATAGATGTGATAAGTTTATTAAGAATAGTGTATGCTGTGTTTGTAGCTCTAACATAAGGAAACCACAAGTCATGTAAAGCCCCTTAGGACTGTGACTTTAGGTAAGTGACCAGAATAAGGGTAGATTACAAACTCGGAAACATATAATGACGAACTTGCAAAAGTGTGAAAAAAACACCTTTGTAAAATGGCCATGATGGACACACATATGGAGGTGTTAACCCCTCAGTGCTCCCGGCCTGGCCAATAAAGGTGTGCTTTACTTACAGTACTTCAGTGTGGAGTAGATTCCTTTGAATCACCAGATACACAGCAGCTGATCAGTTGGAATCTTGTTGTCGGTGGGTGGGTGGGACGGTTGCTGAAAAAACTTGCTATCACATGTTGATATTGGGTCAAAATATCCTAACTCAGCCAACCTGTGTATTCATCTGCACTTTGGTGTGGCAAATGTTCTGCTTTCCACTTTGGGGGTCCATGATACTTTCAAATCCAGTTATGCTGTGGTGTGCCTGGAGGAGGGGCACTCCCCTGACTTAAACTTGCCCCTGTTGGCTGCTCCAGACACTTTCTTGAAGTGGCAACTGGAGACCAAGTCCTAAAAAATGAGGGACTCATGGGACTGATTTCGTCAAGTTTAACAGGCATCTAGAGTTATCACTCCCTGCAAAGCAACTGCTCTTTTCCTCCTGCACCCGGGAAGATTTAAAGCAGGCTCTGGCCCTCAGGGTTTCCAGGATTTTCTCGTTACTTTTGTTTGGGAAAGGCAGTTTCCGCCCATTTTGCAGCTCGCTTAACGCGAGAAGGTGGTGTGTCCCGGGCTGGTTCATACGGCGGGACCGCGTTCAGCCTCTGCCGCCACACCCGCAGAGCTTCGTTTGAGGTGAAAAAAATTGAGAAGAAGGAGTTTAGCAACAGCTTTCGGTGGTGAGGGCTGGGATGGGGGTCCTGTTGTGGCTAAATGGCGGCTGCCGGTGTGTGGGGCCGGGTCGGGCCGGGAAATGGCGGCTATCGGTGTGTGGGACCGGGCCGGGCCGGTATTGCCGTGTGGGGAAAATGGCGGCTGCCGGTGTGTGGGGCCGAGCCGGTGTTGCCGTGTGGGAAAATGGCGGCTGCCGGTGTGTGGGGCCGGGTCGGGGCGGGAAATGGCGGTTGCTGGTGTGTGGGGCTGGCCTGCAGGGCCTCTGAGGGGGGCTCGGCCTCTGGTACTGAGAAAAGGAGAAAGTACGTTTTGTTTGCTGGAAAGCAGGTTGTCTGGAAAACTCTTACTACGTGTCAAGAATTTGAACTAATTTCTTTGAAATGAGATTTTTTTTTTTTTTTTGCCTCCTCTCCCTGCCGTGTTTTCTTTTTTCTCCCAACCATACAGCTTTGAGGGTTGAGATTTTGTGTGCAATCGTGAATCCACTACAATATGCCAAGTTTGAGTTATATTCCAACGAACTTCCTAGCTTTTTAGGCAGAATTTGAAGCAGAGGATCTGGAAAAGTCAAATGCATAGATGCAGGTTGTAGGTGGTATTTGAAGAGAGGAAAAGGCCAATTTCTGAACTGTCTTTGTTGATTTAAATGGAGCTCCAGAGATTTGTATCCTGAGGACTTGGCCTGATGTGGTGAAAGGTAAAACACATGCTTAATCTGAAATATTTCTGAAATATTTTTCCGTCCCTATTCAATTTTCTTGCAACCATTTGTTTTTCGTCCATGAAAAGAAGTCACTTCTGAAAACCTCTCTTTTTCAAACGTGCCCCTCTCTGTGGCATAGATATTAAGTAATATCTTTAGTATAGAATATTGAAGACCAAATGAACAGTAACCAAGAGGAAAAAATGTAAATGAATGTGTTACTTTCCACTAATTAAACTTATTTGGAGTGCCTGATCAATGGGGTATTAGCAGAAGTCATTGAGAGAGCAGAAGTGGGATTCAAATGTTGTGCTTCGCTGGAATGGGAAGGTAAAACATTCTAAATTCAATTTTTCTTTACTATCTTGTCATTTGTTTAACAGTGTGGAAGGTATTTGGTTGGGATGAATGGTACTTGTCAGTTGAATTTTTCATCTAGACACTTTTAAATTAAGTTGATGTTCAGGGTTTTGAGTTGTATTTTGCACGTCTTATGAAATACTGCCACTCATACCACCTATAATAAAAAAATCTCATACAGTGGTATGATTATTCTCTGTTTAGTCTGACCATTAACCTTTCATGGTTTTTATAAAATGATGATGATGAAATGCTAGTGTTTCTTCTTGATTATAGGCAGGGATCAGCGAGTGCTTTGCAGCAGTCACGTAAGATTTGGGTTATATTGGCACGTCCAGAGTGGTAGCTCTCCAGGTCCTGTTCTGGGATCTTCCACTGAAATCCTGGGATATAAAATCAAATTCAGCGTTGCTCTGGAGATGTGGCAACTAAATTGCTGTTTTAGGCACCTCTATAAGAGCCACTTCATGAAATTGCTTTGGCACTTGGTTACATTGAGGCTATTTGGAATGATTCTAAACTAGGGTAAAGCCAATAGTGCTTTTGAGTGCTAATTCAGTGGAACTTCAGAATGTTCTTAAGCTCGTGTAGCAGAGCAGCTTTTCTAAATTCTAAGTGAATTAAGATGCAACAGGTAAAAAAAACTCTTGTAAGTGACAAACCAAGACTCAGAATCTGTCTGGGTAAGAGACACAAACTCAGCTTTTACATGGTGAAATCTTCCTTGTTTGTGAAGGAGTAAGTGACTGCACAAAAAACCTAAATTATTAAATAGTTGTCATGGAGTTACTTTACCTTTAAGGGAGTTGGAGTTGCTGGGAAGTGCTTGGAGTCTTTTCTCCTGACCAATTATCGGTCATTGCTGGGAATTGACAGCAGTTTAGGCCATTGAAAAGTGGGATCAACTTGTGAACCCTACCTTAAAATGTAAAAGCAGAAGTCTCTGAGTTCTCTTTGTTTCTGGCTGTGGAGGGTGGCAGAGCTCCAGGCCTCCCGTCCCTGCCCAGGCCATGCGGCCGGGCGGGGATGGGGCCGGGCCTGCCCCGTCTCCCGGCCGGGAGATGGGGGGGCCTGGGGAAGGTTTTCTCCGGGCCGGGCCGAGCCGATCTCTGGCTCGGCTGCAGGTTTTGCTGTAACTAATTCACTAGAAACTGCCCACTGAAGAAAGAGAGAAGCTCTGGACTTGCAGCGGGTTAGAGCAGAGACTACACGCTCCAGAGCAGCCATGAGGAACCTTCCATCGCAGACGGCTCCAGCTCCTGTTCGGCAGAGATCCCCAAACCATCTACAAAAGCCTGGGCAAGATTTTAACTCTTTCATTACCCAGATGAGACTTGCGGATTAATCTTTTTATCCAGAGAGAGAGAGAGAGAAAGATCAACATGAAAAGAGACTTTATAAACTACCAGTGACAGGAAAGAAAAGAAGCTTCAAAGAAGGTAGAGAATTAAGAAGATGCTTTAATTAAGCTGAAATATCTCCCTGTTAAAATTATGGAGATGGACAATAAAGTCCTGAAAAGAACTCCTTTAATTCATGATATAGGATCTAGAGAGGAATAGTGTTCAAAGTGTAAATTTGAGTAAAGAGTAATTATAGTATAGTGAAGTACTAAGAGATTAAAAGCCTTGAGAGGCCATGAGAAAACTGTTGAGAGATTTGAAGCCCTGAGAGGCCATGAGAAAACTGTTTTCTAGTGAAGCTCACAGAAACAGATAAAGAAGACTTTTTTTTGCCTTTGAATAACTTATCCTTAAAAATGTTATCTCTAGACACATGGCCCATACTTACTTCAGAGTGATGTGAAAATGGGAGGAGTGAACTCTAATAATAGCAGCTCTGAGCAGCTAACATTAGGGCAATAGAAAACTATAACAAAAATAGTTTTCTTGTGAGAAACTCCATAAATTAACAAGAAGAAACTTCTGTTTCTCTATAAAGACTGGTGAACATACTAGCAAGAATTGGGACTGTTTTAACCATCAGAGTTCCAGAGTTTTTGTCTCTGTTGTCATGTGAACAAGAGAATAGTGGGTGGATAGGAGATAGAAAGGTTTTTCTGGAAGTTTATTCTGGTGTTCTTATTATTGTGGTTTGTCAATAAACTTTTTTTTTTTTCTCCCTTTTAAGTTGTATGCCTGTTTTGCTCTTATTTCTAATCCATATCTCACAACAAAAAGTAAATAATTTTCTTAGTTAGTGGTTTAAAACCACGACAATAGTGGTCCTTGTCTTTACAGTATGTCTGTGGAGCTTCACCCCCCTACTTCCCTCCAGGATAACAGCATTCCTTTGAGACTTTGAGACCCTCTTCAGGTGTTTTTTTGGTGTATATGATTGGACTTGGTCCCTTGCTCAGGAAATGCTGGTTATGTAACTGAATTGTCTCAGTTTGTCTTCTTTTCAGGCGAGGAGGGAGCTCCATTTGCCCTGCACTTCCAGCCTGTGAGGCAGAGAGGAGCTGTGAACACTTCACCAGGTTTGAAGGTGCTTTGCAGTTATCTGTAGAAGTAACCTGCTTCATGAGAGCTGCTGCCAGATGGATGTGCCTGTGCATGGTGACATGGTAACGCATAGGAGCCATTTTGTCCTTCCATGGTGAGCAAATGTCAGCTGATCCTCTCTTCCTGTAGAGAGCAGCAGTAAAAGTCAGATCACAATGTACTGCCTGGATTGATATAGGCTCTGGCTTATCAAAGCTTGAGGGAAAATAGCAAAGAATGAACTTTTACATAAAAAAACAGTGAGAGAAATCTGTGTGGGAAAGGTAATTCCTGTACAGAGCCAGGATCTCTCAAGCTAATGAATCTGACCCACACAACCTTTGTGTAGTGGTCAGAAACCATTTATCTCCTCTCTGAAGAATAATTATTTCCATTCCTCAAATTCAGTCTTTCTTTGAGTTTTCAGATGAGTGATTTTTTTTTTGTTTTGTTTTTAAAAAAACATCTACTCTATATAGAATCCTAATGGAGATTAGAGAAAGAGCTCTTAACTTCATGAGGTAAATCTCATATAGAAATGCAAGCAATGGTCTCCTCTAGCTACAATGAAGTAAGAACTATGTATATTCAATATATTTGGCAAGATATTTGCTGGGAATTAGCTCTATCCTTATAGGATCAGCTGGTGAGTGTGAAAGCTGTACTTCTGAGATTGGGTTTTTGTCCATGCCTTTGGGGATGTGTTAGCTTGTCCAAGGCAGTTCAGGGAGCACTGACAAAACCCTCGTCTCAGAAGAAATATGGCTTCCACATTCCAAAATGTACATCTGCATTGCTGTCTGCTCCATTTTAAAGTAAAAGGAAACCATCTGAAAAGAATTCATAGCTGGATATTTAAGACTGGGAATTACTGGACAAAAGTGAAGTAGACTGAGATGATGGTTTAACTGGCAAAGGGTTCCTTAGCTTTTGTGACTTTAAGGCTTTGAAAGCATGGAGCTAAGAGAAATGCATGAGAGAATAATTTTTTGTATGTTTTTTTCCTTTTTTTTTTTTTTTTTTCTTTTTCCCTTTTCTGGACTGTGATTGCAAATGTAATCTTGTGAGTTTTTTGAAACAATTTTTGTCACTTTTGTTTTGAAGATTTGAAGGCCAGAGCCTTCACTGGACAATCCTGGCCCAACTGTGGTACAGTATTTTCTGGATGTGCCTGTAGAATGGTCTGGGTAGAATAATCTCAGGGGAAACATTTGGCTCATTGTCCTTGTAAACTTCTCAGATTCTCTGCTCAAGCAATGCCTCAGCTGTCAGCAAGGTACCCCTTGTCTGTAAGAATGCAGCAGAAAACTGCCACACATAACAAGGCATATCTAAGTAACAGATTTCATATGGATTTACTACATGGAAATCCTGAAAATCACTTTTATCTTAAGAGACTGGGGGAGCTGATAATGCAATGCAGTTTTGAGAACCTTCTTGTGCTGCTGGTTGCAGACTACCCTGATTTAAGCTGGGCTCAGACGAGCAGTGTTTGTGCTAGGAGGAGTTAACTTAGTTGTTATTAGAATTTCATCTGCTGTATCAGTGGGCTTTGTGCCCAAATCTGCTTGGGGAACAAAAGCAAGTTCATGACCTGGGGGTCAAGGGAGGCCATGGGTGAGGATTGTTAGGCTGTATGGCTACAGATGGTCTCAAAACAGAAGGATACTACCACACTCACCTCTCTGAATAGGCAGAGGAAATTATATAACCCAGTAATCCCAATTTTTTTACTGTTCAAACATTTTCTGATGCATAAGGAGAGAAGTATCCTTTATTTACAACTTAATTCTTACAAAGTTAATGTTTATGCAGTAGTAGAGGACTTATCTACTCTATTCTGTTCTTTGAAAGCCCACTTCAGGCAGGTTCTGTATGTCAGAGGAATGGTTTGTATCATCCTCCCCTTAGTAACTTCACTGCAAGGGGTCTCGGTGCGAACAGCTGCCTGAGCTGGCAGGCTGAGGGGAACTTGCGTAGTGCCAGAGGCTGCTCGTGGCTCCTGCCCAGCCATTCCTCTTGGGAGAGCAGGCAGGACACCTGTGTGTCTGGGGGTATTGGTGTGCAGCCTCTGCAGCTGGCCCTGGGCTAGCTCTGCAGGAACAGTCTGTCTGGAGCATGTGTCCTCTCCTGGACACAGGATGTTCCTGAAGGGAGAGAACATCTGTCTGGAGCATGTGTCCTCTCCTGGACACAGGATGTTCCTGAAGGGGGAACATCTGTCTGGAGCATGTGTCCTCTACTGGACACAGGATGTTCCTGAAGGGGGAACATCCCAGCCTGCCCCAAGAAGCACAGAGACCTGAACAGGGGCTGTTGCTCAGTGCTAGGGACAGCTGGCTGCCTGGAAGAGCAGAGGACATAGCCCAGAAGGACCTCTTCATCTGCAGAAAAAGGTAGAAATCCTGTGCCTTAGGTGAGAGGAGAAGGAACCACCAGACAGATGGAAGAGGAGGCATTGGTGCCACCTTCATCAAAATTATTGTTGGTCTCTCATTTAGTCCTTTTATTATCAAATTTAGGGGTTTGCTCTCATGCAAATCTGATCATGTGTTCTAGATTTTTTGATTTTCTTACTTTCAGACAATTCCTTCTTCCTCCCAGGAGCTGCTCTCTGGTCACCTCTTCAAGTCCGTGTCTATGTTTCTGAAAGGTATTGCTTCAGGTTCTATTATCTCTTTTTCAAATAGTCCTGGAGTATGAAGACAACAGCCAAAATTCATAATAAATAAAAAATGCATGATTTTGAATAATGCAAACATATTCTGCAGTAAAATGGTGCAGATTAACCTACTTCATCACAGTGTGCCTTTGGCAAAAGTATTTTTGAGACTGAAGCCAGAAAAGTTATTTAATGTTCTGTAACCTGTCAGTCCCACAATGCCAAGGAGTACCACGGTTTTACTGCTCTACTCACATGTGCTGATTTCAAAGCTGGCATTGCAGAGATCAGTAGAGAGAAAAAAATACTGCAGTGGTGTGCAGTAATCCCAGAGGTTAATTGTCACATATCAAGGAATGGGAGGATCCAAATTATTTTAATTTAACCCCTGGTTCTGCCTCCTTACTGGAGTCAAAGTTCTTCTGTCAACAGAGTATTTGTGAGAGCCCAAATGATTTATTGTAGATTTGACTTTTCCTTTCCCCTCAGCTGAAGTTGTTTGGTGGTAGATCTTTCTGGGTGAAACATTTAAGTTAATGCTTAGAAAACTTTTATTCAAAACTTTTTCGCTGAGAAGTCATTTAAAATAATACAATAAAAATATTTTTTTTAAATTCCCTAGGAAGAGTTGATACAGTATTTAAT